CCCAGAATTGCTCTGCCATGAACGTAGACGCCTCGGGCTTCTTCCACATGTCGTTGAAGGCCGTAAAAAGAATAACATCGCTCGCGTTATCTGTATAGGCGCTCTTGATGGACGACAGCGCGGCAGTCTGCTGGTCCATGCCAGGCACAGCGGCACCATTCGACTCACCCTGCCAGGGCCAGCCCGTCTCTGTAACCACAATACGTTTGCTCTTATCAGCCAACTTGCTGCGAATCTTACTGACCATAGATGTCACAAACGAGCCTGCTTGATGAGCACCCGTGTTCGCGTCGAAGAAGGGGTGGATATTAGCGGCGCAGTAGTCCGACTGGTCGCAGAGCTCGGGATGGGCGAGTATAGCGACGAACGTATCCACAATAACGACAGGACCTCGGTACCCAGCAGCCCTAAGCGCAGTGCGAGCTTGGCTTAATGCGGCAAGCGACTGACTCACTGTAGCTCCACCGTTGTTGACCAGTTCATTGCCAACCGAGACAGTGTCAACAATGCTCCAGTCGTGGTTTATTCCGGCAGCCATAGTAGAGACTGCCTGCTCAACAGAGTTGATATCAAAGATACCTAAGAAGAGTTTGTTGCCGCGCTTCTTGGCTGCCGCATATGCCGTTGCTACCTGGTCACAATCGACACCGTACAAACGGATGACTCCGTAATCCTTAGCGACTAGCGCGAAGTCCTTCTCAACGTCGGCCGCAGACTTGCAGCCTCCAGCACCCTTGTAGGGAGAGTAAGTGACGCCATGGAGGGTGCCGCCGCCGGAAGCCGGGGGAGACGGTGGGGGAGATGGCACAGAGGACGCTGAAGGGTATGAACTAGTCCGCGACGACTTAGATGGGAGCGGAGATGGGATCGGCTCAAAAGTTGAGACGTGCTGTACAGTTGACGAGGATGACGAGGACGGAGTAGATGTGGAATGCTCAATCAGCACATCCTCGGAAGATACAGCGGGAGCGATGACCGTTGTTGTCGTGGTCTGGGGAACCGGTGCCTTCTGGGTCTCTACAGACGCAGGGACGTAGACAACTGTCTCGGTGACAGTACGAATTGGCTTGTTATGTTGGTCTACATAGACCACGACTTCGGGGACTTCAGTGGCTGTGCTGCGCGCAGTATCAGTCACAGTAATCTTGTCCCTCTTTGGCATGGGGTCCCTGTGAGCCCTATGCTGATGGGCATGATGATGATCTAATGCCACGTTAGCTGGGATTTTACAGAGAAGCTATGTATTTGAGTATTAACTTACGTAGCTGCCCAGCCGACAGGTGAAGGAGGGACAGGAGAGTAAGAGAAACTGTTATAAGTCTCATTGTGTCCGGACGTCAAATGACGACGAGTACGTCAGGATTAGAAAACTGCGGAATCGAAGGAGACAAGTAATGAACGGCCTGAGTTGTTAGCGAGACAACGATTTACTCAAATGAACAAATGAACGACTGGGAGAGTGAGTGACGAGAATAGAAACAAAAAGGGACATGAATGCGGGAAATAGACTAGCAAAGGCCGTCAATAGGTGTCATCAGTTAGTTACAAGGGTTTCAAGGGAAACAAGAATAGACAAAGGAGTGCGGGTGAAATGTGAAGGTAAAAAGTATACCAAGGAACAATATTGAAGTTCTAGACTCGAGGGCTGAGGTTCAACACAAGAAATGGTACCAACGACGTCGAACTTCCTGTGGCGAGAGTTGCCCGGGGCGTCGAGAAGGGGGAAGAAACAATAGACGGTGAGACGCGCGTTCCTGGCTAGTCTCAAGGGATTGTGGTGAAGGAATGATGGCGTTGTACAGGGAAATAAGATCAAAGATCGCAATAAGGGAGGGAAGCATTGAGGACACCATTGACCAAACCCAAGGAAGTGAAGACTTAAGAAATAGCTACTTACTATCTTGCTTTATCCGAAGTGGAAGGGATGACAATGTCAAGCTCGATGTCGATGTCGATGTCGATGTCGATGTTGACGTTGACGTTGGTGTTGACGTTGGTGCTGAGGCTGTCTTGTTTTCAAGATATCTCATATGACCTTCAATGAAGTGAACGAGAACTAGACCACTTGATTCCGACTACCCATAAGGTACCTAGGTATTCATTGGCAGATGGAATTGTTGGTTGAAGGAGTGTGTGGAATTGCTCTAAAGAATGGAAATGACGAGTTGTGGGAAAATGTTGAGGGCATGTGCTGCTTCAGGTTCGTCGCGAGCACCAACTACGAATACAGGGCAAGAACACAGGGCAAGAACGCTACGGTGTATACGGCCCATGCATATCTTCAAATTGGGATGGGAAGCGACGAGGCATGAACATGTCTCACGCTTGCCCCCAATAATCCCAATAATGGCAGGAAGGCACAGACCAGTGAGCAGGTAGGTACCTTAGGACAATGGAAGGTCGCGTTAAGTGAATAAGCTCCATTGAGGTCGACAGGGCAAACAAAGTACCTCTATGGTGAAGCCCGAAAAAAACGAAAAAAACAAACAGTCCACTGCGAGATCTCTGCAGAACACATAATGGTGTATGGGCACTCTTAGAGCGAATTAGCGATTAATATTTGTGTCTATAATCTGATCTGGGCGATATGCCACTTCTGTCTTGTATACAACCATGAACAGCGCAACTTGTACAGCCTCTAGAACCCGTCCGCATTATCATGGTAGTCTAATAGGCATTATACATGGACGGCAAGCATCTTCGTGTCGTGCCGCATCGAAAGCAATGTGGGATAACGAATAAGATCATGAGAAGCTGAATGATTCCTAAGCAACCAGTGACGATTGCCTATTTGGCTTCCGAGTCATGATCTTAGTGATGGCGTGTCGAATCGTCACACCAGCCTTCTCGATCTCCTTCTTGGACAAACCAGACGTGATACAAATCTTGAGGGCGGGCTTGATGTTTATGTCCTTGGTTCCGATGCTGCCAATCATCGGCTGGCTTTTCAGCCGCGTGACGAGCACTCCATTAGCAAGGCACTATATATCTGTAAGTGGGAGAACTTCAATAATGACATCGTTAGAAACTTACCTCATCCGTAATGTCAAGGAATAGTCGCTCTTGGTCTTCATTGCTGAGTCGCCTTGACGAGACTACCTCAGGTTTGAAAACTAGCAGCATAACAGGGTTTTCAGGATCACTTGTGCACTGAATCCAGTCGCTTCGCGGATCGAGTTGTGCTCTCATCGCCCGGATGTTTTCTCGGCATTGGAGCAGAATGTCAGGGTTGCAGGTCAACATTTGTAGAGTCTCGGAAGCAGTAACGGCAGCCATGGCAGGCAAAGCGGCTGAGTAGGTGTACGATGCAGCATTGATACGCTGATGTCTTACGACGTCATTTGAGCCAGCGCAGAATCCGCCTTGAGCACACAGAGGTCCTGCTAGAGATCCAATAATCATATCCACAGCTTCGGAATCCACATTCTGGGCCTCTGTGAGCCCTTTTCCGTTGCGACCGAGCACCCCAAATGACCATGTCTCGTCAAGGGCAATGCGGAACTTGTACTTTTCCTTTAATTCCACCTAGAAATTCCGGATTCGTCAGCTGAGGGACGCAACCAAAACGACGCCCTTATCAATAGGGACTGCTTACAAGCTTAGGGAGATTAGCACAATCGCCAATCATCTCAAAGAGACCTTCGGTCACAATAAATCTCCTGGTTAGAATCTTCTTTTTTGCTTGCTCTTCGGCCACTTTCTTCATAACTCGCTCCAGGTCTTCCATATCATTGTGTTCGTACCATCTAATGTTGCTTCGGGAAGCCTCTAGTCCTTTGCGAATCGAATAATTGACCAGCTTATCAGCGACAATGACATCTCCTCGCTTGCAGAAAGTCGGAATGACACTAGAGATAGTCGAAAAGGCATGAGAATAAACGATGCTGTTCTGCACACCAAGGAAAACAGCGATGTCGTGTTCGGCTTGCATGTGGACGTCCTGGGTGCCGTAGAACTGAGGTGGACCGCAGGGGCCAACTCCGTAGGTGCGAAGCGTTTGAATTGCCTTGTCCTTGATGGAATCGCTCGCATTGAAATTGTAGAAGTTATAGGAGGCTAGGTTTGTAACAGTCTTGCCGTTAGATAGCTTCACCTTCGGACCAGTCGGTCTATCCCGAGACTATTAGCAATCGCGTTTCAGTATGATTTGAAATCGATTCTTACCCAACAATAATAGGTTGCCTCTCGGCTTCAGCCTCCTCAAGCGGGGTCTGGGGAGCGACGAGTGGTTCGGGCTCCCACTCCTTAACAAGCTCGTCAATCTCATCCTCACGAAGCTTTACGTAATTGGGATCGTGGGTAGGATAGGACGGCGAGAGAAGGTATCGAACGAAGAATATAACAAGAATAAATTCTATAGCGGATCGAACTGGGTCATTCTGATAGCTCGACCGGATGTATCGTATCAAGACGGCACTGCCGGGGACTTTATGAAAGGCGTGGGATACTTCGCGAAGCGAAGCCTGCAAGTAGGCTTGGGCGTCGTGAAGATCCATCTTTAGTCAATTCGACTCTCTAGTAAGGTGTACAGCAGTCTGGTATAGAATTCGTAGGAGATCGCTAAAGAATTTGGGCGTGAGACGACATTGTAGGAGCAGGCAGGGACTGCGACGATCACAAATTGGAAAGGGTCCGAATCATTTCTGATTCGACATTGACACGACATTGACACGGCTTAGGCATATGGGGCGTTGGATTGAGGCCGCCACACTGCCCCACTTGCCATTTTATGCACAGGGGTAGGTCACGTGCTCTCAGGTGAGGGCAATCTGGCATCAACAAGGATTTGGGGCTTGTTATATTTATGAAAAAGTCAAAGCGTCTCAGCAAAGAGAGGGTCTTTCTCGTCTTTCTTTTACGTGATTAATCCGCGCCGGTATTTACCGGCTAATTGATCTCAGGTGACCTCAGATTAACTTCAACAGGCTTAGCGGGACTAGCTAACATGCAAGGTTAGAGATAACCCTTAAATAACAATAGCGAACCGAAATTTCAGTTCAGGTACGGTGCCAGAGTGGTTAATGGGTGAGACTTGAATTCAATAGGATTCATGCCATCTCATGACTTCGGTCGCTTGGGTTCGAATCCCAACCGTATCGCGACGTTAATGCCTTTTTTAAACGTTTTTTATTTTGTTTGGGAGCTCGATTTTCGTTGCATTTAGGTCCCTAGCACAAATAATTCGTTGTAGGACGTATTCTAATCATTTAAAACGAATCTATCACGAGCAGTGGAAGACTGAGAATCGTAGAAGACATGATGCAAGCTCACAAACCTCATGGATGAGATCATCAATCTTTTCCATGGCAATCGACAATGCTCCGGACTCGAATGAATCATCAGGGGTGATCACGATCTCCTCAACGGATCCCGTCACAGGTGTTGGTGTATGAAGGACCTTACGAGCTCCCACCTTGACCATGGGCGTCCTGCGTCTTTGCAGTAACTGGCGGAGGTGCAGCTGAGGGTGAAGTGTTGGGTGCCGAAGTTACCAGTAGCAGGAAAACGATCCTTCAATGCCCGCTCAACGGTCTTGAGGCCATCATCAATAGCCTCTCCTAAATCATCCTTGTCCAGAGCCTCCCGGGCAAGAGGACTGCTGTCAAGAAATGTAGCAGCGTCGTCCTCATACTACATATCAACAGCCTGAAGCATTTCCCATGCAATAACCTCAAGACCAGCTCGTTTAAACTCCCAAGGATCCTCAGATTTCACCGAGCCCGCAGCACTCTTGTCTCCAACGTATGGGCTATTGTGAACAACAGTCTGAATCTCCGATAATGACAAGTCCTGAAAGTCTTAAAGGAACTCGTTCGAAGGAAAATTGGGATCACTGACGTATTCAGGTGAAACGTTGGACTCGAAGGATAGCTAATACCCTAATTTACCGTCGTCAACGGAGTCTTATCTGTATGAATCTCTGTAGAGCTATGTCCTATGATGGGATTCCGATAATGGATTAGAAAATCATCCACCAAGCGTCGATATTCAACGAGAAGGGCCAGAAGGGTCAGTGGGTACAAATGAGGAAATGATCAACACAATGTCAAATGCGTCAATGATGGAGAGAATCAAAGACTCCCATCTGCCCTACATAGGTCTGTAATCGTAGGATTCCCGATGACCGGACGAAATCAACAGAAAAGAAGATTACTACTTCCTTCGAAGAGTCGCAAAGGAGCTACAAAGAAATGGGAACAACTTTAGCCATACGTGGTGCATCCAATGGAGATCTATATTCTTTGGAAGGGCTGATTAAGGCAATTCTGATATTATAAATTTCATTCCGATGCACCCCTTCTTAGCTGTGCTATTTGGCAGTAACATTGTCCACCTGTCCACCTATCAATACACTAGATAGATGACGACTTCGCCTCGCGGTCCTTAGATAGTCGATAGCCAAGAGCTTAGCATATAACATGATTCTTCGGATTCATAAAACAATGTTGTCTGCATTGGTACCTATCATTGGTCTCTTTACATTGCTAGTTACCAAATCGAGATACAACGTTCTCATGGCCCGGTTACGCCATACCGCATATAAGAATCACAATCTCGATCTCGACTAGCCGCAATGGCAGGAGATCTTTTGCCGGTCTATATGGCTCGACCCTAAAGTAATTCGATCCTCCAGGCCGTCTGCCCCGATGGACAGCAAAATAGCAAAATAATGTCCACGTCGGCGATGATTCAGTGACAGGAAGTGCTATCGTGATTGAGGTTTAGTCCTCTTTCGTTCTCTTTGCTGCTATTTATTGCAGCCAACCTCTGAGCTCGGCGCGAATTAAATGCGCAGACCGTTACGAAAAGTCCATGCATGCAAACCAGCCATTAAGCCTTCCAGCCCCTAGGAGAAATGCCGCCTGATGATCTGCTGTCCTTCGGGCGAAAAGTGTTGTTGCAGCAATGGCGTGGGATCGACGTTCGCCGACTGAAGTAGGATTTGAACTGCCCGTGCAACGCGCGCGCCAAGTTGGCCATGAAGCATTTCCGCCTCAAGAGCCTGTCCTACGTAAACGAATACCTTGTCGACCTGGCTTGTTACTGCAGGATTTTGCCTATGTGACTAGCTTAGAATACAATCTTGTCATATGCCTTCCGCAAAACGAGAAGAAAAAGCACATAACCATTTCATCATAGCGAGGGGGTTTAAACTTACTGTTCGATTAACTCTACGAGATAACCATAGGCATATGGTGCTGCCTCCTCGTCGTTAGTGACCGGTAGGGTGTTGATCCTAGATGACATACTGATCAGTGGCCATACTTAATACGCGACGGTTAGATATGCATACCACTGGGTCGCGATCGCTTGCGGATCTTGTAAGCTCTGCTTGTTAAAATGAAGAATCTTCGCGATAGCTGCACAAGCGTTCTCTATACATACGTCAGCAGCGGTTACTAGACGATTTAATGTTTGGATTATGACTTACCGGTAGCGTAAACTGCCTCTTCGCCGCGGGCGTCTGGTATCTGGGTTGCTTGGAATAAGTACGGTATCGAAGTCGCCAAAAATTGAGACCAGGGAGCTCCGCCACGATGAGCCGCCACACCAATACCATATCTATCGAATATGTCAGCAATCACATCTTTGTAAAGAAGAGAATTTTACTTACGCAGCAGCCTGTCGAATGGCAGCTGAAGGGTCTTTGCAGCCTTCAAGGAGCGCAGTACTGATAACTTGAGCGTAGCGAACGCTTTCTGGTCCGCAATATTCAAGGACATCGTCCATGATACACAAGCCCCACTGGCGCTGCGTCGGATCCGTTGACGTGAGGAAGCTTTCGTATGTCCCCATGAGACGCTCCCACGGCTGAAGGAAGGCGGCACCGTGATTCTTGAAGATGGAGTGGAATGCCTTGTTCATGTCGGACAACAGAGTCTGGTCATCCTCAATTGCAAGCATGAGCTCCTCTGCTTCGTCCTCGGCATCTTCGGCTGCGGCCCCTTCTTTATCTTCCTCGCGTCGGGCAACGCGGTCCTTGTAATCTTCAATGGCGGAATGAACACCATCGATGAATTTCGACATGTGCTGCTGGGTAAGACAATTCTTACCAACAACTTCAACTGATTCGTAGAAGCATTGGTACATCTCGGCCAATGCGTCGATTGCTGGTTCGGCAGTAAGAACTTCCAGTAACTTGTCCACAGTTCCAGCCCACAAGCCTCGTAGTTCGTTAGATTCTGGGCCGTATGCTTTCTTATAGGAGCTAAGGAGCTGCGGGACGAGTTTTGCCGAAATGAACCTCACGGGGTCATGGAAGAAGAATGCAAGACCCGGGAGTGCGATCTTCTCCATCGTATCGGCAACATACGGAGCAAAATGCGCTTCCAGAGTCTGCGCGTAGACAACAAGCAGCTCAATGGCCATGTGCTTATCGTCCATTGTACTAGTTCGAATTCCAATCATCTTGCCCTTGAGTGGTACTAACTCCCATCCGTCTTCCTGCTGGAACTGTTCGATTTCATCGTCCGTGTCGAGCAGTTGGATATCGGCCTTAGCGCTGGCTAGTTCAACTAACGGAGGCATAACATTTGGTAAGAAGCGTAGGAAGTCGGCACCCATGACTCTGCACATACGTCCCCAACAATGCATGAGATACTGGGACTGTGGATCGTCGGCGTCGGTGATATTAGCTTGGATGTTAGCAAGGAGGTCAACCAAGGTCATTGCGTCATTCCCTAGGCGTTCCTTGCCAACGGCCAATGCTATTAAGGTAGCGCATTCCATAGCCTTGGCACGAAGTAGCCGATACTCCTTTTCGGTTTCTTGCCGTAGGACGTTGACGAGTAAAGGCATAAGAGTATCATAATACTTAGAAAAGGCAGCTTCGGCGGCATCAGCGATAGTGGCAATTGTGGAAAGTGCCTGTTCCTGAACATAGCGCTTCTCATTTTGTAAAAGTTGGAAGAGGTGAGATAGTAGGTCATCGAGGTAAGGTTCAAGTATACTCTTCTCCGCCTCCTCACAGAAATTGACTAGTGCTGCAGCGGCGTGAGCCTTAACACGGTTCTCAGGAGAATCAAGCACAGGAATAATGGTCTTCAGAATGGTATCATAGTACTCCTTTTGCATCGTGGGTGCAAAATCCGTACTCATTTGACCAAGTGCCTGGCATCCGGCCCAGCGTACTCGCGGATGGGGATCCTTCAGCGCGGGAACCACAAGCTCCAGAACCTGATTAAGCTCCTTAACCATAAGATCGCGGCAACCTTCGGAGATGGCAGAAATAGCCATGAGAGCTGCATGACGATCCTTCCATGCCATGGAGGTCATCATCCTCGGAAGCCAGTGGAAAGTCGGGGCTAGAATTGTCTCTCCACCAAGCTTATTAGCTAGCCGATCCATACACTGCTCTCCAGCGACATGATTAAGGTCGCTCTCTTCCTGGTCAAAGTCGTCAGATGCTAGCCATTCAGCAGCATCGTCATCATCCTCGCCAAGGTCCGTCATTAGGCTTAGGCATTGGGTAATCATGTCATTCGTGTAGGAAGGGTCTTTGCGGCACATAGACGGGGCGTAATCAGCAAACGTAGCCATGAGTTCAAGGGCGTTTTGCCGGCAGAGATCATTCAACTCCTTGTCCTGGATGACACCGACGCTGAACATAACGAGATTATGAAACAAGGGCCTGAACATCTTAGGCGATGTCTCGGCTAGCTCTATCAGTGCCACAAGGGCCTTGCTAAGATCCTCAGAATCATGAGAATCCTTGATAGGCGGTAGAATATTGAGAACGTCAGGTAGCAAGGAGAAATATTTCGGTAAGGCTTTCTTGGGAAGGCTTCGGAAGAAGGAGGCGAAGGCCTCCATGGCAGCCAATCGAACGGCGACAGAGTCATCCTTGAAGCCTCTGTTGAAAGCCTCCAACACAGCGCTCTCATGTTGTTTCTCAATGATGCCGGGTGTTGTTGCAAAGACACGATAGGCCGTCTCGCGCTGGCCTGCGTCAGGGGCCACACTAAGGTTGAAGAGGACGGCAAGAATCTCAGGCCATGGTTCATCTGAATTGGTGTTAGCAGGCAAGTTTCTGGGCTTATTAGCCTTGCTGTGACTATTTTTGGATACTCCTCTCGAATGCATGGTGAATGGTGTTGTG